CACTCTGACTTCATGTTTACTGTAATTACTGATGTGGGATTGGGGTCTTTGATCAGCTGTCTTGTGGGTCCCTGAGCCTGAGGGATTCCCTACTCAGGAGCATGTCTTGTGATTTCATCGTTTTGGGATTGAATCGAACTTGATACACAAGCAGAAGGAAAAGTCTTGTCTGAGTCCATGAATGAGCAAGGGGTTTGTTTATTATTATTTTCAAAAGCAGCTGATAATTTTGAGTGCCTAATCTGAGATCTTTTTATTAAAGTCAGGCCTGTTTAAATGGTGAGTACGATCCGGCCCCAGAAAGCCTCCTGATAGGTACCCAAGATGACTAGCTGCTGTTGAAAAATCTTGACCCATGACCATTCTTTGATGTCAGCCCACGTGAAAGGACCATGATGAAATTTTGTATTTTCATATTCTGGTGTATTTAAAATAGTGTTACACTTGTAGGATGTCACTTTAGATTTCAGGGTTTTTTCCTGATCCTGCTTGCATGCTAGGGAGCTCTGTATGGAAGCCTGCGATCTCTGGATCCAGCAGCGGTTGGTTCTGCAGACAGCCTGCGGGCAGATTGAGCTGTGCCTCTCAGCCTGCTTTCTCTCTGTCCTTATTCTGAGAACTAAGGAATACAAGAGTTTTGCAGTGAAACTTTTCTGCAGGAGCGTTAAAGAAAAACAAACTTCTCTGGGTGAATGCTGTGAACAAAACACCTGGGATCTGTGTTCTTTTGTAAACCTTAATAGCAGTTCCCACTGTCTAAATCTGAGATGCTTGATCTTGGTCCTTCACCGCTGCCATGAGCGGCTTTCCCTCTTCCTGCTTTAAATAGTATCCTCAGTGCAGGGGAAAATGAAGACACACAAAATAACTTGTCCCCCAGTGTTCCCTTAGCAGGAGTATGGACAGCCGGGTTCAAATAGGGGGCACTCCTCTCCTCTACCTATATACAGTCTTCGGTTGGTTAGAACATCTGTCTACAGGTCTGTGCGCCTCTGCACTACAGGAGCTGAGCAGCTGTTTCACCTCCAGGGTGGCAGCACATTTAGCACTGAGCTCCATATGCGGGACACAACTTACAGCGCAGACAGATCTCTAAGTACCATGGATGTGGAAACTATGCCCAAAGGTGAGGTGATCTGTCTAGGGTCTCTCTGCACATATGTGATGGAGGCAGGAATAGAACGTAGGTCTTCAGCACCGAGGCCCTTTGCTTGTAAGCACTGTCCCTTTAGGGCTCCCAGTTCTCCAAGACTGGCCTGGAATCTCCAGGAAATAAAGTTTAATCTTCAATTAAAGACACCGTCACACAAAGAAACCTCCAGGAATTTGACCAACCAACGTGGGCAGCCCGACTCCTTTCCCGTTTGCCATTGCACAACTTCTCCTTGGCAACTTCAGTAACTTCCTAAACGTGTGTCAAGGGCCATTAGGGAAGTGCTCAGGATCTCTCAGTGCAGCTGACAACAAGGAGACAGGTCGCTATGTCAGCCAGCAGGCTCTCTGCCACTCAGTAAGAGCCCCACGGGCCTCTACAGGCCCACAGAGTGTGGTCTGACAACAGATACGTTAGGCTGGGGATGCTTAGCTAAGAGCTTGCGTGCAAGCATCAGAAGGATGCAGTCACTCTCACTGTCTCACCCTGCTGTGAGGGCGAGTGGGAGAACCTTGCATTAGACCATTAGTTTTCAACATGGAGTCCGGGCCTTATTGGGGGTTGCAAGCAGTTTCGGAGGATCCATAAACCAGAGGGCAGGGCTGGCGTTAGATTTGCTGGGGCCCATGGCAGAAAGCTGCAGCCCAAGCCCCGCCACTGAGGGCTGATGCTGAAGCCTGAGCAACTTAACTTTGCGGGGCTCCCTATGGCGATAAGCAATAAGCAAAAGACTTACGCACCCTTCGCACCAAGCCACCTTCTTCTACACCCGGCTCTCGACGGATCAGAGAAAGTAGCCTGGTCTGTGGCCACAGCCATTGTCCTGAGATGGGCCTTGTAGTGAACACCTAGGTGTAAATAACTCCCTCCCCCCTTTTTCCCTCAATACAAAATCCTTGGTATTCCTCATAAAAATAATTGTTTGGTGTTTCTCGGTCTTAAAAAGTTTAAGAAACGCTGCTCCAAGCCATTAACTACTACAGAATTTGAGCCCTGTAGAAACAAAAAACCCATCCAAATGTGATACATTTGTCAAGTAATGCAGCATTGCTTTGAACTCTGCAGACTGCTCCTTTCTTACTGCTGCTTCTCCTGGCTCTGCACAGCAGTAGCAGAATGAAACTAACCAAATTGATCAGTTTCATTGCCGTTCAGTTGCCTGTGGTAACAATGATCCCTTCTGAAAGAAGAGAGGGGGTATGACAGAAAGCTTCTTCCCCCTTTCAGCCACTAGCAGGAGATGGAGATTGACTCTTCAGTCCTTTGCTAGCTAGAGGCTTATGTGAAAGTTGGTGCCCCTTTACTGCGAATGCCAGAGCTCTTTGTGATAGCCAGGGAGGACAGCGTGGCTGCTATGCCCAGCGATGGGTGACAGTGGAGCTAACTTTCTCACCTCGCTGGAGCCCTCTGAGTGATGCTTGACTTTCAGATCAGTCTAGTGAGCAGGGAAGTGGCTGGCAAACTTCTGAAGTCTTGCTGTCTCCTGTGCACTGTTCACCAGGAATGTTACAGTTCTGCCTGCTGTCGTAAGGGGGGAGTTGCAGTGGCATAGGGCTTTATTGTCATCAAGGTTCAGGTGCAGCAATGGCCTCTGAAATTAAACTGAGCTGTGCCTTGGATCAGAAATGCGCCTTAGTGGAGAACTGCCATGGTCCTTGGTTTTTTCTTTTTTTCTTTGGTCCCCATTAACGTTCCCAAGAGCTGTCATTGCTGAAACTCAAGCTGCTCTTGGCTCTGTGATTGAAAGGCATTCCTCTGTGCTCTCGTGCTCTCTGCGCTGTGTGGGCACATCCTTGGTTAGCATCTGAAATGTGTACTGCCAGGAGGCAGCCTGGCCCCATGGCTGTGAACCTGGGCTGGAGTAGAGAAATGGACTCCGTTCCTGACCCTGCTACTGACCTGTTGTGTTGTCCTGGGGTGAGTAGCTCTGTTTCTCTTCCCCCGGCCTTGTTTGTTTGGCTGTCAGCTCCTTGGGGCAGGGACTTTTTCACTATGTCTTTGTATGGCACCTGGCCCAGTGGGGGCCCAATCTCTGATACAATTTCTAGGTGCTGCTTTGGTATAAATTACAGGTTGCACCTACAAAAACCAGCACACTCTGGTCTGGCAATATCTGTGATCCAGCAGGGACTAGGGATGTCAACGTGTAGACAACTATACGATTAACTGAGCAACCTGTTCGTCTTGCCGACTACATGCATTTCCTCCCCCCTTACTGCCTCTGTATCAGAGGCAGCAATGAGGGGTGGGGAGAGCAAGATCCGGTGCCCATGAGGAGCTGGTTGGGGGAAGCGTGGGGATGAAGCCCCTTGGCAGCCCCCAGGAGCACAGGGCCGGAGCTTGGGCTGCCCAAGGAATCAGCAGCAGCTGGGTGAGCAGCCAAGCCGGGGTGTGTGAGTGTCGGGGGGGGAGGGGGGCAGCCTGCAAGCAGTGGGCTTGGGGGCCAGTGGCAGGGGACCTCCCCAGGTCCAGCAAATGTTCTCATTTGGGACCAATCTGGTCCTGACAGTGCCGGACTAGGGAGGTCAAACCCATCCTGTCCTTTCTGGGTTTTTCCTCTACTTATCAAGGGTCACCATGGGCATGAATCTTGAAATGGCTAAAAGTACCTTCAGGTAACACAATTGGCACTGCGGTCGTACACTTCTGGGGGTCGGAACACTTACTTTCTTTCCCACCCTTCTCCTCACAGCCACTTTCCTGCATCCTCTATTAATCAAGAGCATCCTTTCTCCTGGGCAAATGGGTGAGCTTATTTTGAAAGCTGATGAATACCTGTTCTGTTTGGTTGATGACAACTTAATGTCAGAGTATAACATGCCCTTCCTTGCCCCCCCCAGATTACACCTAGGCAGAGTTAATAGTTTCTTGGCACAACATTATGTTTCTTGAAAGCCCCACACAAATATTGTTTTTTGCGTCTCACATTTTAACTTTAAAAAACTATATTTAAAAATAAAATCAGCCCCAGGACAAAGTGGCTGTCAGGTTAGAACATGGTCTTGTCTGTGACAAATGCTTTCAAATCTTTGTGACAGGGCTTGACAGATTAATAAAAGCATTCTTCACTTTAAGTATGTACTAAGGTGTAACTCTTTAAACATTTAGACTTGCTAATGATCTGAATATTGCTATTCTATATGTCTGCTCCTCTGCATATGAATCATTTTGGCATGTACCTTTGGGAACTGGTCATCCTTGGCTTCAAAGTACAAAGATGGTCGGTGGTCCTCTCCGAGCCCTACAAACTTGGCATAAGAACTGTGTCTGGCTGGGTTCTCTCCTTCTTCATCATTGCTGGGAATAAAGATTGTATGTACCAAATGAGGTGTGTGAGCTCTGTGCAATTCTGCTGGCTTAGTGGGTTGATACATATGTATGAGGGTGCGGTAACACAGGAAAGATGGTGGTGTTGTGGTGTATGGGTTTTTTTTTTTTTTTTAAAGCCACTGGTAATGCATAGGAAACAGAATCCATTCCTCTCATTTAGAATAAGGTTGGGCTCTGCAGGGCTTGTCGAAGTTGAAAGGAGCAGAAGGTTCCTTTTGCCATTTGAAGTCAGCAACTCTTGCTCTCAATACAGACTAGAAGATCTCTAGTAAAGTGTCGTTACATTTCAAAGTAGAACGCCATAGAGATGAAGGATGGAATTTAAAACATTGGTTTGTCTTGTCTACTTAAATTTTAAGTTCCTTGGGGATTGAGCCCCTCAACCATAGTGCATAGTATAATAGCACTCAGGATTTCTACTGGAGCCTCTACGTGGTGGTGTAATACACACACTAATTACACGTTACGATTATAAATGAGAGGACTAAGTGTGTTACTCTCCTTTTTTGTCTTCCAGGATAGAATCATCAACTTAGCTGTTGGCAGCTTAACATTCTTGCTGCTTATAGTAAGTATTCCACTTCCTAAACTATTTCATTTCTTTCTAAGGTCCAAATCCTAATTCTGTTAGAAGTTTGATGGCAAAACTTCCACTGACTTGAGTGGGCCCAGGTTTTAGCCCCAAGTGCTTCCAGTAATTTGACACCCTTTGCCTTTAGGGAAGGGAGAACACAATTTTCTTTTGGGCAGCGTTATTTGCTGCTGCTGCTTTGAGGGAACTGAGTCCTTTTTAAAAACAAGTAAAAGTTCCCAAAGCCATGTGAGAAAGGAACTCTTCAGCAAGACTTCCTGGTACTGGATGATATTTTTACATGTGTTTGAGGCACCCGTTGCTGTGCTATCTCTCTGTGCTTTCTCCATCTCTTAAAAGAACCAACTGCTACCACAAAAATGAGCCTACTCCATGTTCTGTGATGGCAGCCACTGACTCTCCTGCCTTTGAGAGCCAACGTGATGGGTAGCATCTGAAGACTGACTATTCAGGGAATTCAGCCTGTTATTGGAAAGTCCAGATAAAGAGAAGCCTTGAACAAAAGCAGGCTAGAACATCATGCCTGTCACAGAGAACCTCCTGCCTCACTGCTCCCTTGAGCTTCATCTTAGGGACATGTAGCCAAAACATCCCTTCAAAGCAATAATGCTGGGATGGACCATATGTAGGGAAGTGGTTTGGAAGACAGATGGGCTAGGTCTACACTGGCGGCTTCTTGCGCAAGAACAGCTTGCGCAACGGTTCTTGTGCAAGAAGTCTTGTGCAAGAACACGTCCACACTGCCATGTGCTTTTGTGCAAGAGCATCCATGGCAGTGTAGATGCTCTCTTGCGCAAGAAAGGTCTGATGGCCATTTTAGCCATAGGGCTTTCTTGTGCAAGAAACCCCTGCCATGCGTCCACACTGACCTCTTGCGCAAGAGAGCTTACACCTGTTAGAAAAGAGCGTAGCTCTTGCGCAAGAAGCCCTCTCTTACCACGCCGTACTGTAAATCTTCTTGCGCAAGAGAGGGAGGGCAGTGTGGACGCTCTGCGGATTCTTGCGCAAGAACCCGCCAGGGTAGACATAGCCATGGGGACCATGTACATAATTTATAAACATGACCAGAACCTTAGAAGTAAATTAGCTATTGCAAAGAGTAGGAGACTGCAGTACTACTTTGGCTACCCAAATGTTAAGCCATATGCTATATAGTCAGTTGGAACTTTTGAGTACCCCTCAAAGTTAGACCCAGTTATATAGGGCCTGATTTTGAGGTGACAAGGTACAAGATAATGACGCAAGACCTGCATCTATGAACGATGGTTACAGTCCTTTGGGCAGAAGGACAGATGTCTGTCTTATGTGGACATGAGGACTGTAGTGGGCCATTGGATGGGGATTAAACTTCTTAAATCAGTTGTACAATTATTAAGGTACTGGTACTTAGTTATTTAAAAATTATATTCTTAGTCCTTTCCACTCTCTCATGCCTCCATCTTCTTCATGGCTCTTGCCATAGTTCCACAGTATGATGCGCAGAACTTTGGTTATAATGAGAGACACCCCCAAATTGGAATCCTGAATTGTTTCCTTGGTCATTTGATAACTCTGCTTATCTGAGTGGGTACTGGTGTGGGTTTTTTTGTTTGTTTTGCTAGTGAAAATGTTTAGCCTCTGTATTTCTCTGTACAGGTCACTCTGATCAGTGCTTTTGTCTTTCCTCAACTACCTCCAAAACCAGTGAATATATTTTTTGCTTTCTGCATCTTCTTATGTAGTGTTTCTGTTGGCATACTTGTAAGTATCACTACATTTATTGTGAAATATATACAGAATTGTATTACTTATGTACCTAACATATCATGTATTTTTCATAATACTGTAGTGAGCTAGCTCCACCCAACCTCTAGATTGTATTACATGTGGCTCACTTGAAAGCTGGTAGGCTATACTAAAGTCCAGATGAGGCATTGGCCCAAAGTAGCCATGCTGTTATGTTGAGCCTTTATTCTGCTAGTGTAGGGGGACAATCTCTTCCATTCCAATTTCTGTGATCCTATTGCTTCCTACTGAGCATACAGGCCACAACATCCCATTATCTAACACATGTTCACAATTGGCTTTTCCCTGTGCTTGCTACAGAGAGCGTACAGGTCTCATTGTACAACAAAAGACCATGCTATAGCTAGAGGATCTATTTAAATCACACGGCACAATTAGCAGATTTCACAGAGATTACACATCTCAATTTGTTATTTATGCCATGGCCACTACAGTGTGACTTCTCAGATGGGGAACCCTGACCCAAAAGGGGAGCATAAGCCTATTGTAGGGGAGCCTTGATATGCCAACCCTTAGTTCTTTGCTGCTGCTGGCAGTGGCGCTGCTGTTAGACCTGGGCAGCTGGAGATCAGATTTCACAGTCCATGACAGTTTTCATGACCATGAATTTTGTAGACCTCTAGCGATGATATGTCTTCTTACAAAACAGGCACAAATTAACATCTGTACTGGTGAGAGTTGTCACAGGAAAGAGGATAGGGACACAGTTAAATTTGGCATCTCAAAGACTTTCTGGCATTCACTAGTAAGATTTTTTTTTTTTAATTTGACTCATTTGTTTAGCCATAATTCTAAAAGCTAGGGAATTCAAACAGCCATTGAGAACTCTACTTTAAATGTTAATGGCTTATTGACATTTATTTCTAAGGGCTTGTTTACAATGTCTGTTTTAACTACACTACAATATGGATTTTTCTCACCAAGTACCATAGTTAAACTGACCTAACTTTTAGTATGGACCAGGCCATAGGCTGTGTCTACACTGGTGTGATCTTGAGCCAAATCAGCCGCTCTTGCGCAAAAACTTGCTGCCTGTCTACACTGGCCGTGTATTCTTGCGCAAGTAAACTGACGTTTTACTGTATAAAATCAGGACTTCTTGCGCAAGAACTATAATGCTCCTGCTCAGGAATAAGCCCTCTTGCGCAACTGTTCTTGCGCATGAGGCCAGTGTAGACAGGCAACATGAATTTCTTGCGCAAGAAAGCCCTATGGTCAAAATGGCCATCGGAGCTTTCTTGCACAAGAGAGTGTCTACACTGGCATGGATGCTCTTGCACAAACGCACATGCCAGTGTAGACACACTCTTCTGGAAGAGTTTTTGCACAAGAAGCTGCCAGTGTAGACATGGCCTTAGTGTTTGCAAAGCAAGGTCACCAGCCTCATCTCTTGCATAATTAACATTTCTCAAAACAAAATGGTGTTAGTCTAGAAGAGTGATAAGTAAGCAGTGTGGTACTGGCAGGCAATATATGAGAGATTAAGATCTTCCTGCATTCTACAAGAATACTGAGAGAGGTTTTCAGTGAGGTTTCTAGCTCTTAAGCAGCAAATGCTCTCTCCTCATTGGTCTGATTTAAAAGAGGATGGGGGTAAATAAAATCCTAGAAGTTCTTAGTTTCACATAGTTACCTACTCTGGCACTGAATTGTAGACAGTTTATTTTGCATATAAATACCTGACTTTATTTCTAATGCAACATCACTCTCTCCATTCTAGATCTACTGGTATCGACAAGGAGACTTGGAACCTAAGTTTAGGAATCTCATTTACTACATCTTATTTTCTATTGTCATGTTATGTATATGTGCCAATTTGTACTTCCATGAAGTGGGTAAATGAATGTGAGACTGTACTTAGAACCACCCTAAAAAGGAGATAATCAACTGGAGAGGGATGAGGAAGTGGGTTGGTCGGAGATACTCAGTACATGATTTTTTCATGTAAATGTTTATCTAAAGTCCCTCATGTTGGGAAGAATTATTGCCATACACCGTGACATTTTGCTTTTTTAAAAAGAGCTAATTTTGCACTTACTGCACATTCCAAGTATATTGATGTTTCAGAAGGGGACAAGCTTTTTCATTTTGGAAAAATCCGCATTTTTATTGTACAAATAACTGCAGCATTGCAAAGGTCTGTAACACAGAATAAATAAATGGCATCTTACAGTTACATAAGACAAACTTTTATTTTTGTTTAAACTGCTATACAATTGTTTGTTCCCTAGGCAACCTTTTGTTGAAACTACAACTTAATTTCACATTAACAAAACCACAGACTGAAAGACCAACTTTGATTATGAAGAGCTAATTACAGAAATAAATAAAATAATTTATACATCAGTCTTTAATTTCTATAGTTATTTTTCCCCACACTCACACACGCACACTTAAAAGGCTGCTCAGCCTAGTGTGTCTGCTATGAGCCTGAAGTGTTGAATTAATTGCTTTGCACTGCTTTAGGGACATAGGCTCAAACTATCACTGAGCTCCTTCTTCAAGACCTTGCCAAGGATGTTGCTACCTCCTTGCCATCCCCAATATTAATGTGCTGCATACAACTCATGTTCAGAGAGATAGCTGGAAGTGTAATGAGACTAGCTAGTTAGGCAGGCAGTCTCCACCCTCCTTGGCATAGCCTATGAAGAGTAGAGGCTTTTTTGTTCTCTGAGCTTTAAAGAGATGCTGGTGGACCTCAATAGCCTTCCCTTTCTCCTAAGTTTCCCTTTTATTGAACCTGCTGTAGTGATTTTTTTTTGTACTTTAAAAAAAGTTAAAATCTTTCACATCTGATCTCTTTGCAACTCCCTCCATTGCCAGCAATGGACTCTTCAGAACAGGCACAGTGAAAGACAACCCCGTAAGCATCTGTAACTAGTGTCCTATGTGCTGGGAATACTGGTACATCAAATGACTGGGAAAACAGACCCCTTCTGCCATGCTGCTCCTGCCCTTGCCCTCACCTTTGAAAGTCACTGAGCAATCCTCAGCTACATTTCAGAAGGAAAAGTAATAAGTTTTAACTCTAAGCCAGTAAGTGCAGAAATCCTCATCCATTCTCCATGTGTGCAAACAAATTCTTGCTGCTGCACTAACAGGCTAAGTCCTTGGCTCCTATCCAGTTTTCAAGGTGCATAAAATCCAACACAAGGGCAACAGCCAGGTCAATTACTGACTGGTTCCTAGCAGTGTGCAACTGAGACTCTTAATAACCCCTTGCTGAAAAGCAGTGAACTGGGGTTTGAGTTAGCTGCTGTACCCCTTTACAAATGAGGTAAATATTCTTATAAGCAGTAAAAGTGCATTGTAGCCATTTCAACTAAAGAATGTTTTAAATATGTGGATTGACTTCTTTCTTTGGAAGGTGGTACAGGGTTGCCACTGTAATTTCATGATGCAAACAGATTCATTAAGAAAACAGACATGATACTGCTTCTTAGTGACAACTGACTAAGTCTTCAACATCCTTTGAATCTTCAGAATCAGGACTGTCCAAACATGAGCCAATAATGTGTGATCCCTCTCCATGGTGTTGCAAGATAGGATCTGCAATGAGCCATAACATGTTAGACTCAAAACTTCTTGTACTGCTATAAAAAAACATATGTTTTGAATCAGTTTAAATAAAACTATTAAACTTGTAACAATGACAGGCAGAATTGAACCTGGGACCTCTGGAGCTTACCGCATGAGCTAAAAATGCAGCTACTCTTGAGATGTGCTAGTTCAGGGGTCAACAATCTCTAGCTCTCAGCCCATCAGAGTAATCTGCTTGATTTTGCGCAAGTTGACTGTTTGCAGACATGATCCCCAGTGGTCATGGGAGGTATACAGAATTACACACTGAACAAAAATTGCTGATCTATCTCTAATTCAAGCATCACACTGAGTGGTTTCCACAAAGGCTGGAAATGCTAACACCCATCAATGTTCTTTCAGCTACAGTACAGGTAATGTAAACTAATTAGTTAGCATGTAACACTGGTGCATTGAAGGAAAACAAACTGATGCATAACATCCTTGTTTTTTAAAAAAACCTTTCAAATCCTTTAAAGAGGGTGATTTCTAAAGTTTCAAACTAACAATGATTTGGAAGGTAAGTTACAAGAAAATTCCATGGATAAAGGCTATGAGCTCCTCTAATCATTTTGTGCATCAATTACCATGTTGAACTAAAGAATCTTGTTTCAGGCCTATTGCATTAATCAAATGTCTGATATTACCTGTTAATGTTGTCAGAGGTAAGACTGATTCATTGTCTATATCATCTGATGTCTGAATAAAACCATGGGGTGAAGGAACAATAAGGACAGTTTCATCGCCTATTGCAGACTGATCAACTTGTTCTTCTATGGCTGGAGAACCTAGGTCCTGCATGATGTAAGATTGAAGAAGAGATTTATCCATAATGGGATACAGAAACATTTGCTTCTAGAAAACTGAGCATTGTGCTAGCTGAGGTTGAGATCTTTCCCGAGTGAGTAGTAGTTAGGAGCAGAAGATGATTAACATATTCAAAAGCTCTGTCAAACAAACCACAATGGCTATCAATCGATTTTCTTGCTGTTGGCTACACATCTCTTTAGATGCTCTAAGATGTGTGTTACATATTTACATACTTTTCAAGTTCTGGTCCCCATGTAGATAAGAGGGCTCTTCAGTGTAACAGTTATAACACAAGCCAGTAGTTAAAATGTGAAGCTAGACAAATTCACACTAGAAATGAAATAAATATTTAACAGTGAGAGCAGCTTAACCATTGGAACAACTTACTAAGGGTTAGGGTGGATTCTCTATCTCTGGAAACTTTTAAATCAAGACTTCGAGGGTAAATCATTCTCTAGTTCAAACTCACCTAAGCAAGTCTTATAGCCTGTGATAACACAAGAGGTAAGACTAAATCACAGTAGTCCTTTCTAGCCTTCTAATCATAAATATAATCCCTTTCTGCGAATTTATTATGCAAGTTATTTTTTCCTAACACCTTACCTACACTTCTCCTTGAGTCATAACTACAATTTCACTGCTGCTTTCACTGTCAAATTTTAACTACTGTAAGCACAGCTAAGGAAGAGCGAACCTTGACTGGTGTCAGCGAAAGGCTTATTATAGAACTGCAGGGATGACTGGAATATGAAAGTAGCTGGATTTTTCATATTCCCAGCGGGAATATGCACTGCGTGGGTGGGCTACAGGCCATTGTTTAAAGCGTGCATTCCCAAATTGGGGGTGTGTGAAGAAATTCCGGGGAGGGGGGCACGAGGCAACCCAGCCTCCCCCCCGTCAATCCCACCCTTCCCAAGTTTTGCTGCTATTTTTGTTTTTCGGCCCTGGTCAGTTCCTATTTTTTTCCTCAACAAGTTTTGCTGCTGTTGGGGGGTGGTGGTGGTGTCACGTGAGGGTTTCTCAAAAATCAAAAAGGGGGCGTAATGCCGAAAAGTTTGGGAACTAGAGGGATAGCTAAAATGGTCCAGCAATTTTAGTAAAGCCCGTTCCCCTTTTTGGCTTTATTAGTACCACCTTTATAGCTGGCCAGCCAGTTGGTTGTTCCTTATCAGTTACTGTCAAGCAATGAACATGTGCCTGTGATGTCAGTATCACAGCTGGATTCTCCCTCTCTACTCGGACCCTAACTTGCACTTCTTGCTGCAAAGTACGGCTGTACCTAATTCAATAAGGAAGAAGCCTGCAGAGAGCACAACATAGCTGGACCTTCCAACACTGAAGAGTGGTTCCTCGGCCTACACTGAAAAGCTGGCCCTCAAGGTACAGGGGACAGAGGGAAAAGCATGTGAACGCTTTTCCCAGACATAGTTATCAAACCCCTGCAATTAATCCACACCTCCCACTCACTGTAACAACTGTAATGGCAGCAGTTGGGGAAAAATAAATTCTCTCTCAAATGGAAAGTGAAGTTTACAAAGGTCTTGAGTCACTCTTACTTCTGATTACTCTTGGCTAAAATACTCCAATCTTCACTAGTGTAACTGCACAGACTCCAAACTTGTTAGCTAGAATAAATAATTGAAAATTACCAATTGAATTTGCTTTTTCTTTCTAGGATAATTAAACAACCTAAAAAAACCAGTTACTCACTTTCTCATGACTGTTGTTCAAGATGTGTTGTTCATGATCATTCGAACCAGGCGTATGTATGCGCTTGTGCATGCACAGAAACCAGCAGATTTCTCTCTTAAAAGTAGAGCCCTGAAAATCCGTGGGTATCCAAGGCTCATTTTTTGTGGCTACAGCTATGAATACAAGTTTTGTACATAGAAGCTTGCAAATTTGTGGATATCCACTTTATATCTGCAGCTCATTTTTGCAGCGAGAGATACAGAGGGCTCCACTTAGCAGCATCCACAGGTTGGCCTGGTGCCCCCTGGTGTTGTATCCACATGGTGCCTAATACAGAGCCCTGCTGACCTGCCAAGCCCCAGTTACTTCTTGCCAGCCACTCAGAGTGGGGTAAAGAGAGTGGGTACTGGAATGGACATGAACAACACTTCTTGAAGAACAACCGAAGATGAAAATATGGTTACCTTCTCAGAAGTGCTTGTTCATGTCTATTCCAGTCAGGTGACTCATAAGCCTAAGTTTCTGAAGGTGAGGTCGGCGACTACTACTGACTGAAGGCTGCATGGTTTCTGGCCTGTTAAGTGATTGCACAATGTGTAGTGAAAGTGTGGACAGAGAATCATATTGCTGCTCTGCAGATTTCCTGAGTAGGGATCTGTGCCAAGAATGCTGTGGATGAAGCCTGCACCTTGGTGTAGTGCACAGCATATGGAGGTGAAGGAACTCCTCCGAGATAATAGCACTCACAAACATAGGGCACTATCCAAGAAGAGATGACCTGAAAGGCTAACCTTTCATTCTGCCCATCACTGCTGCAAATAATTGGACCAATTTCCTGAACGGTTTCATCCTCAGGATGTAAAGGCCTGTGACCTGCAGACATTCAGAGAGTGGAGTTTTTGTTACCGACTGCTGGAATGCGGCTTAGCTTAGAATACCAGGAGGAAGATGTCCTGGTTGATGCGGAACTGTGACACCGCGTTCAGGAGGAA